TAATCCATGTAAAAACATGTCATTAAATTCACTTGAAACGGTTGAAAGAGGTAAGAGAGTTATGGTGTGGGGATTTTAATGCTCACAACTGGTTATGGGGTAGTAAAAAAATAGATTCTAATGGTGAAATAATACCCTCCTAATCAGTAGGCGGCGGTAATGCGCCTAAAAGTTGTAGCCATCCGCCATTAAACACCAAGAAGAAGAAGAAGAAGAAGAAGCAGCAGCAGCAGCATGTGCCCCCGTCGCCTCACACTCCATCCAGCAGTGTCTGTCTGTGACGTCCTCAGCGTGCGCCGGAGGTTACGCGTGTGAGGAGCAGAGCAGAGCAGAGCAGAGCAGCACGTGTAGATCAGCAGCAATGGCATCGACACAAGAAGCAGAAATCGTCTTCGCTCAGAAGCTCGCGTCCAACGAGAAGCCCGTGAGGAGCAGAGCCCTGGTGAAGCTGAGGAAGTACATCAGCGCGCGCTCAGAGACAGCAGGAGGTAATAAACACCGAACACGTGTGTGTGCGCCTGCCTGCCGGGCTGCGGTTATTATCGAGTGCAGGGCTTTATGGCGTCGTTACTCTGTACATACCGTGTGAATATCGATCGACTGACTGACTTTATTGATCCCAAAGGGGAATTCACAGCAGAGCTCACCACACACATGACACATATTAAAAACTTTGTTTCAAGCATCAAAGTGTGTAACGTTACTACCCCATGATTATACGATATTCGCTGTAACACCGGGGCTGAACGAGCTCACACGCTGCGTGATGAAGGGATGACAGCCATGGCTCTTCAACAGGCTCTTATAAACCGGTATCATACTGTCAGACCAAGCGGGCTTGTTGTGCAAATATGCACTCAATCTCAATGTCTGGCTCTCTGCCACCACTTGATGAGGACGTCTTCTAAAATCAACCACACTTTGCTCGCTCTTACTAGCATTACGCCTAAGACGATTTGTTTCAAACCAGTCCACAAACGCTTTAAAGCTCCCTGTATTCACTCTCATCATGATCCATTATACAGACAACAATTGTGGAGTCCACAGAAAGCTTCTGGAGATCATCCTGGAAAGCTGAGGTATAAAAGGTGAATAAAAGCGGAGCTAAAACAGTTCCCCCCCCCTCACACACACACACTCACTCTCTCACACACACACACACACACTCACTCACTCACTCACACACACACTATACACACTACTCACACACACACTATACACACTACTCACACACACACACTCACTCTCTCACACACTCTCACTCACTCACACACACACACTATACACTCTCACTCACACACACTCACTCTCTCACACACACACACTCTCTCACACACTCTCACTCACACACACACTATACACACTCACACACACTATACACTCTCACTCACACACACTCACTCTCTCACACACACACACTCTCTCACACACTCTCACTCACACACACACTATACACACTCACACACACTATACACTCTCACTCACACACACTCACTCTCTCACACACACACACTCTCTCACACACTCTCACTCACACACACACTATACACACTCACACACACTATACACTCTCACTCACACACACTCACTCTCTCACACACACACACTCTCTCACACACTCTCACTCACACACACACTATACACACTCACACACACTATACACTCTCACTCACACACACTCACTCTCTCACACACACACACTCTCTCACACACTCTCACTCACACACACACTATACACACTCACACACACTATACACTCTCTCTCACACACACTCACTCTCTCACACACACACACTCACTCTTTCACACACTCTCACTCACACACACACACACACACTATACACACTCACTATACACACTCACACTCTCACACACACACACACACTCTCTCACACACTCTCACTCACACACACACACACACACTATACACACTCACACACACACACACACTATACACTCTCACTCACACACACTCACTCTCACACACACACACTCACTCTTTCACACACTCTCACTCACACACACACACACTATACACTCGCACACACACGCACACACTCACTATCACACACACACACTATACACTCTCTCTCTCACACACACACACTATACACATACATACATACACACACACTCTCTCACACACACACACACTATATACTCTCTCTCACACACACACACACAATACACTCTCACACACACACACACACTATATACTCTCTCTCTCTCTCTCACACACACACACACACTATATACTCTCTCTCACACACACACACTATACACTCTCTCACACACACACACACTATATACTCTCTCTCTCACACACACACACTATACACTCTCTCTCTCACACACACGCACACACACTATACACTCTCTCACACACACACTATACACGCGCACACACTATACACTCTCTCTCACACACACACACACACACACTAGAGGTCTGCTACCCGAGCCCGATGGGTCCAGAAATACTTTCGGGTTTCGGGTCGGGCTCGGTTATTTTGCCTCAGAATAGTTTCGGGTTTCGGGTCGGGCTCGGGTAATGTTTAATGAATAGTTTCGGGTTTCGGGTCGGGCTCGGGTAATGTTTAATGAATAGTTTCGGGTTTCGGGTCGGGCTCGGGTAATGTTTAATGAATAGTTTCGGGTTTCGGGTCGGGCTCGGGTTAATGTTTAATGAATAGTTTCGGGTTTCGGGTCGGGCTCGGGTTAATGTTTAATGAATAGTTTCGGGTTTCGGGTCGGGCTCGGGGTAATGTTTAATGAATAGTTTCGGGTTCG